TGGGGGTTCGGACTATTCGGAGCTCTCTCTTCAATCTATGCCCTTCTCACTCGCACTGCCAAGAGAAATGGTCCATAATACGGGCCCGCCTGCTTGCCACGAAAAACTAGTGCGCATGTGCCGATGTTGCTGAATTAGTAAAACCGCGAAATTCAAATTGTTGAAACTACTTATCAAGATAAAACACCAGGAATTACCATAACCATGTATAATTAAATTATAACGGTAAACACAGTCAAGATCATGTTTTATGTTTATTTGTTATAAAACGATTTTTTAATTTAACTTGGTGGTTTGCGAAACAAGTCGTGGTTGCACTAACCACGCGCGCGGAGCGACAAGCAAGCAGACAGATGACTGCCTGCATGATCCTGCTGACTTTTAATTAATAAATAGGTTTACTTACTTTCAATAAGTACACGTTTTAAATGACAGTCCGGGGGTGTGTCGGGTATATAGAGGGGGTGTGTTAAATGTGTATGCGGCATGGCATACGTCTGGCCGCCTGCTTGTCCAATGTGTGGGCTTTGGTTTAGTTAGGTACGATGATGCGCGCGACTTGTGCTGCGCGGTGACTTCAGAGTCAAATTTCAAGAGAAACGTAGCTAATTTGTAGCTATTATAGAACGGAGCGCTCTTATCTTTTCCGCTTATCTCTTGCTTTTTAAGTATGCTTCTGTAATGGCCGATTTCGACTCAAGTTAAAAATTTTTTTTACTATTTTTGACAAACCATGGACTCGACGGTGCGATTTGGCATCGTTTTGTACCAAATTTAGCGCCCTTTAGCAGTTTTAGGCTAATTTTGTTGTATCGATTAATATTGTCCCGAGTTCATAATACTTCTGAGATTTGATATCTCGGCCGATAGAGCAGAGCAAAGCAACGTTAAAACAGCTGTAAAATCATAAAAATGCAAGTATAGGTATATGTATATAAAGTAGAGTTTCGCTCGACTTGATTGCAATACCTATAGCTATACATAACAACTTGGCAAGACGCCCTTTAAATTTTCACGCAGTCTCATACGCCGTGTGATTGTGATATTATATATATATGTGCGGCAGCCCACAAAGAAATATAGAAACACACGTCGTCCATCGTCGTCTGCTTCGTCCTTTTAATTCTTAAGATCTATATATAGATATATATTCCTTGATACACCTGTCTTGTCATGTACCTCGAACTTGTTTGGACAAAAGTATTTGAGTAGATGATAGTAAGAAATAACTTGCCCTCCTTTTCTCTCTTCTTACTCATGATTTTTGCCACTAAGGACAGTGTAGAAGTGATATTTATGTTTACAGCTTAGCAGAGGGAAAAACGGGAAACGAGATATAAAAAAACTTGTGTTGGAGAGTAAGTACGAGATCATGATGCTTCCAAATCGTTAAACTAAGGTTCCAAGCAGGTAATCGGGTGTAAGTATTCTAAAAGGGGATTCTGACGTTGCACTCATCGTACGCATATACATATAACGTTATATTACATAAACTTTTTTTTTTCTCGTCTCAACGCAATATTTGCATGGTGGATTGTTTGTATAATTGTACAGTGCGATTGATCCTCGACGCTCTTTGCGTTCCTCTTCTTCTTCGCCATATACGAAGGATAGACGTCGCGTATGCACTCTTCAGGGGGACACAAAATGGCCGCTCGACGGGTGAAAATTTCAGCTTTTGGAGCTCCGAAATTCGTGTACCCGGGAGTTGCCCTCGTCGACTCTGACTTTTAAGTATTAACCCTTTTACCGCGTACCCATTTACATGTCCTTCTGTAACTCTTTTTGTTCTTTGGTTAAATCTTTTTTGTTGATGGGAACCATTTCTTTCGGAGTTTTATGAAGTTTTGTAGGTTAGACAAAAGTATATCTTACTACACTATCTATATTCTACATAGTGATGGATCCTGATCATGGTTGTGTTAAAAATTAAAAAACCATGACTTATCTTTGGCTTGTGTGCACATAACGTGTATGTATGTGTGTAATTGCACCCCTTTTTGTTCGTTTTTTGCGTTTCAAACAAAATCAGAGTATATTAAGTTTTTTATACCGTAGAGGTGCATTCTTTTTGATATTTGAAAGGGAAAGAATCGGGTACGCTGCAGTTTACATGTATGCTGAGTTGCAATGTATTGTAAAGACTAATTTGCGTTTACGAATTTTGGATTTTTTAAATTAATGTCGATACCAGTGGATTTTCGATAAAAGGTACCATAACCAGAAGTAAACCGTTCACGATCATTTAAATTTAACTTTGAAGCTTCAATAAAGTACAGTACACTTTTTAGTTACAATATATAGCCGTATAGTGGAAAATTATTAACAGCAAAACTTAACAATTTGTAACGCTGTTGGTGATTCGTTTTGAAAGTTTTCAACCAAAAACTTGAGTTTTAACGTATTTTTCAAACATGTCGCTTACCAAGCTACAAAGCTCATTAAATAAACGTTAAAGCAAATATCTCAGTGATGAATCATCGTTTTTATAAGTACTTACAAATCGTATCAGTTATTATTTTGTGTTTGAATATTTTATACTTGAAAAAGGAAAGAAAAGTTTTTGGTGAGAGAGATCTACTCTTTTTATACTTTTCTGAAATTGACATGAACAAATCTAAATTATTTTCATTCATTTATACAACTATAAATCCGAAGTGTTAATTTTTAAATTTTTGTATACTAAAAAAAAATCTTGAGCAACATTA